CGTCGGTGGCTTCGCTTTTTGCACACGAATTAAGACGATTCGATCGGCGGCAGGGATACTCGGTAACCACTGTACCAGCCACCAGTTAAGATCATAGCTGATGCCGATTAACAACAAGATGGAACGACGATTCGGTTCGAAAACCGTGCTCCAGGGATGTTCCCGTCGCCCGATCGACGCCGAGATCCGATCGAGATTGCGAACTGCGTTAGAAACTATTAAATCGGTTAAGTATTTTTCATATTCTCCATCGGTTGACAGAATTTCTGCAGGAACAGCGAAGGAATATTATTTGTTTCTGTCTCGTCTGTTATCGATAATCAATTTAAATAATTTCCTTCTTAAATATTTCTTCCAAGTTACTTTATTTAAATTTAATGTTTCCGAGGATGATGACAAATCGAGTCACTAAGATCGTCGAACGAAATTTTAAACGAAACATGGAAAATACCAGTAAAGTCGGTTTACTTTGATAGACATACCGAACAAATATATTTTCATGAAATGAAAAATTTCCATTATGGGTGTTCCGTGTTACTTTGTAAACGGGCATTCTCGTTACGTAAATAGTTGGACGAAAATTGAATCTCGGGTTATTGATTGTGCGTGTAAATAGAAATTCTTCAATTCTGTTCCCGGTTAAGAGTTTCGTCCGGGTTACCGAGCAGGTATGTTAATTACCGATTACACGGATTAAGTTGTCTCACGTCTTGTCCGGATAATCGGCGTTCTCTACTCTATTCGACACGAAGTATAACCTGGTGCTGACATTCAATTACAGATTACATGGAATTACTGCGATTAACGACTTGTTTATACGCTGACTCTTCCCCCGGCGATGCAGAAACTTTGGCCCGCGGGCCATTCGACCCCTTTAACAAGTTCATCCGGTCTGCGTAATAAAGTTAAAAACTAGCTCGAAAATCTATGCAAGAGGAATACAAGTTACGCGTAAAAGTAATATATTTATAATTGTAAAATTTAAGATGAACGTAAGGTAAAAGACCCATTTACTGTCATTCCAAACTGTATTACTCGAAGTACTGTACAAACATTTTATTGCTATACACATTTTTATTGTATAGAAACATGTAATACAGAAGCAACTTTAATTTATAATTCACATAAAAAATGATATTATCGTAGTATACATGTATAAAAATATTAAATACAGGCACAAACATTCGAAGAAATTATTGAATACACCTTTTCCTATTCTCCGATTGACTGTAGCTTTTTGCAGAGATTGCGAAGTTCGCGCGTAAAGATTTCGTTGGCGGAAAATGGAAATGCACCCTTGAAGCGTACGGTGCCGGGAATGTTAGAAATTTAAAGGCTAGAGATCTGCCGTGATACACGGTCGACAAATATGCTCGTTGAAATCGACGCGGGTAGCTTCCGGTTGTAGGAACCGCGCGGCCATTTTCCTTTTCTTTGTCGGTCGACCGTAATACTGGGAAAGTATTCGTGAATAAGAAATAACGCGAACAGTGCGACGCACACGTTTATCAGACTTGGCGAGAAAAGTGCCCCGGCACGTGGGAATTACCTCGTGCGACTACAGACACCTGTATCGTATATTAACAGCCCTGTCAGCGAGAAGACTTGCCTATTACGTCTCTTTTACTTTTCATGCCATTTTTTGTCGCACTGGCTGAAGGCGTCTCGCGCCCCGACTATTCTTAGCGCCAGGATTTATGAACGACAAAGTTGCTCCACCATTAAGTTCACTTTATGTGAAATTTCCGACTTGATCCGCTCCATTAAGAAGCCTAGTCGTGCAAATTGATAAACGACGGATGCTCGCCGGTACAAAATAAAGTATAATAAATTGTATATTATATTGTGCGCGAAGATTGTAACCCGATCGCCTTCATTGCTTTCAATACTACCGGCTGAATACAAATTATTCTTTTTTCTTTTTTTGCGATAGTTTTATCGAAAGTTGCATGCAGAATATAGCACGTATTTTGCAAGTTTACTATTATTGTAATATGGATCTTCCTATATTTACCGACGCGTGAAAAAAAAAAAACTATGCGAGATTTGTAGTCGAGCATAATGGATGTATTATAATAATAGCCTCGATTATTTTTTATCGATTATTATTAGAATTTGAATCAAGTAATATTGTTTTTTAGTCGGAATTTGTTTTTAAAATCTTTTTCATTAACGTTTCCATTTGAAGTACTATGCGATACTATCACAGAGATGTATTTATTGTCATTTTCTGAAGATTACTTTGATATAGTGTACATTGTTTGTGTACACAGTACAAAATGATGTCAGTCACGCGAATTTATCGAGATTTGAATATTTCAAGTCAATTTAAAATTCTTGTAAAAGCTATAAAATTTTAGGAATATATGTATACATATGGCAATACTCTAATAATAAGGCAAATTTCTACTCCGGATTTGCTATTTTTACCTGTTTCTCTATAAAAATACGGCTCATTTTCATTAAAAGTATAAGTATTACGGTTATTTTTTGTTAAAAATAATTATATTTTAGTTTATTCTCGAACTTGTCCCAGTGGTGATGGTTTTTAATTTCCTTTCAAATTCTTGTCAGTTTTATTATCCTGATTGCAATTAATAAGAAAGAAGTTGACGACTGCTAAAGGAAATGATAATACGTTGATTAAAAATGCGTTTTATTTTACAAAACTGTTCGGTGGAACGTATTGTCCCATTTTATTCTATATAAAGCTAAGTTGGAGTACAGTTTATGCATCTCGGACCTATATCAATTCAAAAGGATTTCTTGGACAGCCTGAATGGCTTCCTTATCATTTCCAATATCCAACTTTGTTCTCGGACTGACATTTTCCTTGAATTTAAAATTGTTTCCCTTTGCTAAACTATGTAAAACTATGCCATCCGTATTGGTTTTCGACAGACTTGTACGTTTCGTGAAACTCGCGCCATCACGTATGTATATATATACATACAGAGTGTTCGGCCAACTCTGGGAAAAATTTTAATGGGGGATTCTAGAGGCCACGATAAAACGAAAATCAAGAATACCAATTTGTTGATGGAGGCCTCGTTAAAAAGTTGTTAACAATTAAATTCAAAAATTTCAAATCGTCCTGAAAAAATTATTTTCGGTTGCGGGGGTCAATTACAATCATTTTTGGTGAATACACATACCTCCGAAATCCTACGCACTTTCTAGAAGAAAATTCGAGGCGTGAAATTTTATGACGGAAAAAAAAAATTTTAAATCGTTCTGGAAAAATTATTTTCGGTTATGGGGGTCAATTACAATCATTTTGGGTGAATAGACATACCCCCGAAATACTACACACTTTCGAAAAAAAAATTCCTTACCGAAAGTCTAATTAAGTGCCTAAATTTTTCGACGAAAAAGAAAATTTCAAATCGTTCTGGAAAAATTATTTTCGGTTGTGGGGGTCAATTGCAATAATTTTGGGTGAATAGACATACCCCCGAAATCTTGCGCATTTTCGAAAAAAAAATTCAGTACGGACAGAACTTTAAACGTTAATAACTTTTGAACAAAGCCTCCATCAACAAATTGGTATTCTTGATTTTCGTCTTATTTTTGCCTCTAGAATCTCTCATTAAAATTTTTCCCAGGGGCGGCCGAACACCCTGTATACGTATATAGAAGATACATAAATTTCTCTCTCGTGATACGAGATCAGTCTTGCACTAAACCAGACTGCAGTGCAGCTTAAAGGCTAAATGGCCTTGACGGATTTCTGCAATTAGTACTAAGTGCTGTAGACTTCAACTATCAAGTGACTGAGTACTACGTAGTAGCTCGATCGCGACTGAGAACCGAGCTACGCTTTCTACGTTATTAATTAATACCTTCTTTCTTCCAATCAAGAAGAAATTCAAGTAAAACGCTCGAATAAAATCAATTTTGTGAAAATTCTCAAGTAAAATACCTCTTTAAATAAAACAGAACTTTCCTCCAATTAGTACAGCAAGGACCTTAGTATTTTAATTTCTATTGTCCGAACGGCGTTTCGTAGAGATGTTTAAATATTACAAATAGATTCATATACATATACATACTATCCTGTGTTCGAACGACGAAATTCAGTACAAAACTGACAGGGTACGTGTCATAATGACAAACAAACAAAAATGTGTATTCTGATTGTCGAAAGAAAATTAAAACTAATCAGAGATATCGAAAGTGGTGAAAGTGAAATGAAATTAACAAGGATATACAGGGTGAATTACCATCTAGCTAAAATGTTTCGGATAATGTTGAGTAGTTTCGAGAGGGGCACATTTTGATGACACTACTTTTTTTTGTAGATGGACGTGTAAGGGACATACGAAGATCATTAACATTTTTTTAAACGAAACGATATACTTTTTATTGCACCAGTCGATGCACCATTGATATTCTTTAAAAAAATCATTAATTTAGGAAATATTTTCATTTCAATGTTGTTAGATGTTGCGTCGCGAAACACGTCCTTTGTTCTATTATTCGGTCAGATTTCCACCGTGGCGTGAAAATATCTTCAGCCTCGGGGGATACTCGTTGCTCGCGAGCCGGACAATTGTAATTCAACGAGCGAAATGGAAAGTGAGAACATGGTTGAATAATGCCGTAAGAAACTAAACCCTAAGCTTATCCATTGAGCAAAGTTGGCGATTCACGATCAAGATGAAGGCTCGGGGTCGCGGAACGATTAGTTAAAAGCCTCTTTTCATTTACGCGGGCTGTCCGCTAGACAATTCCCACAACACCGTCAGTCAGCTTATCCACGCGCATCCGGCGTGTGCTCTCGCGGGAGAGAGAGATCTGACAGACGCATCGATCCGAGCAGGCCTGACTAATCCCCGAGCATTGAGCGCGCGCATGCGCGAAAGAAACGAGCATTGTTAGGCGCGAAAGGCGCGTTAGCGGGGCGCTCGGGTTGCGAACCGTTCGGCGATAACGAAAGGGCAGAGGTCGCCGCGCGGCGCGCCGTTGGAGGCAATGGGTTTGCGAAGAAAACTGCTTACCAGGCGTGGGAGGTGGATCCGCCGGTGGATCCGGGAGTTGAGGCGGCGAATCGAGGAGAGTCAACACGCACAACGCGGTGACCAGCACGGCTGCCAGGCCTACTCTGCATAGCCTCCTCGTACCCGCGACCGACATTACTTTTTTCCTCTCCGACTTGGTCTCCTGTTGGCTCTCGGTCTCGCTCGCTCGAGATTCGTTCACCGAGCGACACGGGGAAGAACGCTCCCGAAGAAATCCATGTTCCCGCGCGATTTGCAATTCAAATCCGAAGGTTCCACACACTCGTGGAATCGTTGGGGGATCGAAGCTCGCGGAGGCGACCGATTCGCCGAAACTGGACGCCGGAGAACGTCCAGACCATCGATAGTCACTCGGCGAGATCGGCGTTGGGAAGCCTAGTCGCGACGCGACGCACCATCGTCGATAGAGCCGAATGTACACGGCGAACCGGTCAGCGGAGCCACGCGTATCGACGCGTTCGGTGAATGGGCGACACACCAACGGACGATCGAATTCGTAGCAACACTCCGGATCGATCACTGCAGATCAGGCTTTTCTGGTTCCCCCGACGCGCTGCTTTGCATAACACGCTCGGCTACACTTTCATCGCGCCGAACGCTTCGCCCCGTGGGTCTAATGGTCTCCTAGAGAAGCCGCTGCGACATATATACGCGGCCCGCGGACTGGTTCACTGGAATCGCGGAAATCTGGATTTATAGGGTGCGGTTGACGCGCCCCGGCGCGAGCAGCGCGCGTTCCCCGGCGAAATTGAAAGTTGCCACGCGATTCCGCGTTTAACGCCGACACCTGGTCGCGGTTCATCGACAAACTTCGATACAGACTTATCCGTTTCGCGTTACGTGTCTGCGATGCTTAAACGAGTCTTCGACTTTGCGAAAGGAACAATCAGAACGCCTCCGTAACTATGTCGATCGTTTCGAGTCCCGCCTCTGCCATACGCGTCACCGATCGATGGGAGATCTTGAAACGATCAGGATGCCGGCCAGCATTCTCGGAAAGGCTATAGGTGTTGGCAGACGAGTAACGAGATCTGTTTAATAGTCTTGCTCGATGTGTGGGTTCCCCAAGGCGAGCACACGAATCTGTCTTCCCGGGGTGCGTAAAAAGCACGCTGGAAGCCGCTCGACCTCCCACGCGTCGCTCCCGCTACTTCCCCTGGCTACGTAGACAGCTGAACCATGTATGGTCGTCCAGGCCTTCGAGCTGCTCCCGAGACCGTCGATAATCTAATTAACCCGATATCTCCGTAGCTTCAAACGTTTTTTCCCAGCCACCGTTTCTTCTGCATCCCGTCAATCCTGCTCGGTTGCCTTCCCTTCCTAACGTCTCTTTTTTCTTCCACCTAGTCTCTACATTTGATCCTATTCGATCAGCAGGCTACCAATCGGGAAATCCATCGATCGTTCCTCTGTACGATAGCGTGACCATTCCGAACTGGACATCGAAACTGGAACGCTCGATCGGTTCTTCGTGCACGTTCGACCTTCTGTCGCAAACTAGCCACTCTTTGTTCGAATTCGAATCGTCGGAATGCCGGACAAACGAATCAGGTCGCGTAATTAGAATCGTGAAAAACTTTGGGCTCCTTCCGTTCCGTAACGAACGAATCAGGTTGACCGATTCGAACCGCGACAGCTCCGGGTTTCCACTGTTTAGGAAAAACGAACCACTCCGAGTTTAAACCACTCGTAAAGTTTATATTTCTTCCTGATCGCAGACTGTCTCGCTCCCATTCCCCTCGCTAATCGGATCCGTAATCGATTATGCCAGCGCGTTGCTCTATTATCGAAACAAGTAATATCGCCGGTTCTGTTGCTCGCTATTTAACGATCGCCTAGAATAGCCACGCGACATATATCTACATCCCGTCGTGGATCCGCAAATAGAATCGAAGACGATCAGGATTCCTTCTCCTTATTATTGCGGACTTAAAATGTCATCTTTTATCCTCGTAGTCTGCAATGGTCGAGAAATTTACACGAGTGTTAGTCACTGTTTTTTTCGACAACCTTTATTCTTGAAAATGTAAGGAAACGTCAGTTTTAGAATTGCTGCCACAGTTCTCACATAATTGTAGAATTCTAATACTTTGGCTCACGTTGAAAGGCTAATGTCACTGTTATACGATCTAATGTCCTCCGATGTATCTTGGATTTAAAGATTTTATTAACATTCCACTCACAGGTTTAACAAAATCATAGAAACTCGAATCGCTTTGTCCCATTTTCTTCCTTCCTCCTCCCAATTACTTTGGTTAACGTTGAAATGGCCTTGCTATGTCGCCCCACACTCTAATGCCCCATAATCTGTGCAATTCCGCTTGCGAACAGATTCGAAAAAAATTGTAAAATGCCTCTTCCCTATCCCATTTTCTTTGTTCCTCTTGATGCTTCGATTCCTAAACGACGATGATCGGTGTGTTGCTCTTACGGTCTAATGCCCTCGAATGCATCAGGTTCGAGAAAACGAGGATACTTTTGATTCGCGCGTGCCCGTAATATTCCCATCAATCACGGGAGGGTCTTGTTTTTGCTCCAAGCCTCCCCGCTAGCCTGATATGCTAAGACGATCGATCGGTAAGGGAGGGTGCCATCTCCGTCCAGTTCCTGTTTCACTTTCACGTCGACGCGTCGGGGGTCGCCGAAAACACGTGGTCGTGAGGTCACGGAAAGAACGCCGGCGGCCGTGTAACGTTCAACGCGCACGTGGTCGCCGGATCGACCGAGCGGATTGGTGCAATCTCGCCTGCGCGAGGGTCCGAAGCGTACTGCGTTCGAGCGGGAGGTGAACGCGCCAGCAGAGCCAGAGCCCCGTCGAGTCCCGACGGCTTTGGACCCGTTGCCTTAGCGCGTTCCCTTCATCCCCCTACTCACATCGCTTCGCCTCGCCTCGCCTCGCCTCGTTCGAACCTAGCTCTTCCTGGACGCGACCACTCGCCTTTGCTTAGCTACTCTGCTCTGCTCTGCTCTGCTCCAGCGTTCGCTGCTTTACCTTGTCGCAGACGAGCGAACCACGCCGAGGCACACCGTTTTCCTCGCTTCTGTTCTCTTTTCATATTCGCTGTTGCCGCCGCGACTGGATTTCCTCCGGAGGGAACGCGCGAGTTACTCGCGGATCTTCGACGCCGGCTCTGTACGCGCGTTCGCCCGTTCCTCGGTGGTCCACAGGTGACGCGCCGCGACACCAAACGTGACTAGGGGTTACGAATGTACGGAGATTCCGGCGGAACGTATTCTTGGTTTAGGTCCGAAGCAGGCTTTACGTTAAGGGGCCTTTCTACCTTGTGGGATTTGAAAAATCGAATTTTTTTTTTAGTATGCAGTCTCGAAAATATATCTACCAAATATTAAATTGAAATTTGAAAAACTGACGAAGTTATAGCTTGCTGAAATGTACCGCACGCGGGTATAACTGAACGTAAAACTTTAAGTTGCCTTTCTACTTTGTGGGATTAAAAAAATCGAATTTTCTTTGCATTTTCTTTTAGCATGTAGTCTCGAAAATATATCTGCCAAATATTCAATTGAAATTTGAAAAACTGACGAAGTTATAGCTTGCTGAAATGTACCGCGCGCAGGTATAACAACTGGACGTGAAACTTTAACCCTTTGCACTCCAAATCTATCCATATATTTCTATATCCAGCCCTGCGGGGAATAAAACACAACATCCCCGACGCGTTGAACAGTATCATATTAATTACGTTTAGATGACTGTGGCGTCAAAGTATATTGCAAAATAAACATAGAAGACAGCATAAATTATAGGATAAAGAGGATAATGAGCCCTCTAAAATGAAACTCGTTGAATTCCCTGTCAAAGTTTCAGCTATTGGTAATAGTGTACCTTCCGACGGATAGCTTTTTTTGACTAATTGCTCATGTGGGCAAGTTCCCTTGTTAGGGAGCGACAAGACCGACTTAGGTATATGCGACTTTTAAAAATGTAAATATTTAACGCGACAAGTGAATAAACTCGATCGTTCCAACTTTTTCTGATCCTCAACTTGCGAGTTTCCTCCCTGGCTTACCTGTCGATCTGGGATTCCCTTTAGCTCGCAGCACGTTCTTGTTTCTTCTCTTCAGCCCGATACCCTAACGTCTCTTTTTGCCCTACAGAACCGACCACCATGAAGCATCGACCACTTGTTGTACTTGTCAAAGCGTATTGCATGTTGACCGATGGCGGATGCGGCGACGAACGAAGGAGTGAGTTCATTTAAACCATCCTGACGCCATCCATCTAAGAGATAGCGGCTTGAAACTTTACCCCGGAAATTGCTTTAAACTTGGATTCGCCGAGGCTGCGTCTCGCGCACGAGCACACCGACAGATGGGACAGTTCATTATAGCGTGGGTGACCAGGACTACGCTTGGACAGGCTACGTAGCCGACGCGAGCGTAAATGAAATTCGTAGATGCAAAATCCAATTACAACGGTTTTTAATGTCTGTACCGCGAAAGCAAGCCGTGGAAATAATTTCAGGTCCCATCATTCGGTAATAGAAAATTACCATGAGCAAAAGTCATTTATAGGCTTCGAGGGAGAAGCCGTTGGTACTTTGAGCTCCGCGGAGGTCGCAAGTCCTTGGATCTCTTAACGAGGTAAATTTAAATTCTGTTTCGCGGCGTTGGCGTTAACAAAAAGCCACGTTAAACATGGAAATTTATTCTCGTATTCTAATACAAACGTTTCGCCTGTAAATATTCCCTCGCGGCAGAATAATGAAAAATAAAACGAGAAACACTTAATACGAGGTGTAACTTAAATTGGTCCGAACGTTGATAGATTTGTAAAACGACCGAATGTCGCTCACCGAGGTTTTTCGTTGTTTCAAAAAAATTTTCCATGTAAATAAATAAAATTCACTGTCGTTCTATGAAAGAGCTTGAAAATTTAAACTATATATTTGAAGGTATTTGTAAAATTGTTTACGTATCCATAATGTACGAAAACTTACGCCAAACTTGAAAGATATCGGTATGACGTATGCTGGTATAAAAAAGATTGTCGTAAGCGAAAGCAGCTGCTTTGAGCGGAGAGTCGGCCAATTGTGTTCGCGTTAGGCTGTTTTCTCGATCGACCCAATTTTTTTCATATCGATCGCTTCCTGA